CGCCTGGCCCGGCCCACCACCGCCTCTGCCGGGGCCGGGGAGCGCCTGCCGGGAGCGGCTCTCAGGAGGCAGCGCCAGTGAATTATTCATCCGCCAGGCGCACAGGCCTGCTCCCGGACGGAGCATCAATAACACACGGAGCGGGAGGCAGGCGCACAGGCCGCGTCCGCACCAAACACCTGGCTCAGGTCCTCGGGAGGGAACCCACGGGCCCCGAACGTGATGTCCACGCTGGGAGGTCACCCAGGGCGGCATGAGATGGCTCTAGGCGTCTTCGCGGCCGTGGGGAGGGCCGGGCGGTTGTCCCAGGATGCGCCCAGTGATCGTACCCGGCCAGAGAGGGGGCCACAGAGATCCCCCAACCCCGCTGATCAAATGCAAGCTCCAGATGTGGGGCCCACAGGGCTGGTGCCCACAGAGCCACCGCACCGTGTGGGGGTGCCCTGGGACAGTCGCTGCCCCGACGAAGAGCCCCACCGACTGGCCCACGGGGACCATGTCTGAGAGGGCTGACGAGGGCACCTGGCAGCAGGCCGGGGGCGGAAGCTTCCAGAGTGCCCTGTCCGTGCCCCTCCCGCGTTACCGCTCCCAGGGGGCCAGCCTGTGCTGAGGAGCCTGTCCCCACCCCCCACTAGGAGGGAGGACCAGCTGCTGCGCCAGCGCTTGGCAGAGGAAAGGCTGCCACCCGGCCAGGGACCAGGGACCCCCCCACCGCCAGCGACACGCGGGGCGAGGGGCAGGGCCAGGGACGAGCGGGTGGGGCGAGGACCAGGAGGTGGGCCGGCAGGTCACGCTCTGCCACGCCCACACTCAGCCCGGCGCCCGGGTCTGGGCGGGTACTCACAGGGTCCCTCAGCTCCTCGCTGTCCCGGGCCCGAGGCGCTCTCAGGGGCACGTCGTCGCCACATTCGTTGTCCGAGGCGTTGGGAGACTCCGCCAGGTCGAGGAAGTCGTCGCGCTTGTGACCTCTGAACCTGATCTTGTCCAGCCTCCTGAGCATGTTCAGCACTGAGCCCCGCTGCCTCACCCTGACATGCCGCTCGGGGTCCCTGCGGAGCAGAGGGATTCTCATATTTCCTTATTCTGAGAGAGAAACATCAATGATGAGAGAGAAGGCTGCGGACAAAAGTGGGTCCACTGAGCCCCGCGGGGCAGGAGGGGACAGGGTCTCGGGGGACCTTCCAACCTGGAAGACGGGCCAGCCCTGTGCAGAGGGCAGCTGGCGGGGGAAGGACAGGGGCGGCCTGACACTCCTCACAGGTTCTCTGGCCGGTGTGGCTCCATGGACAGAGCGTCGGCCTGCGGACCGAAGGGTCCTGAGTTCGATTCCGGCCAAGGGCACCGGTCCGGGTTGCGGTCTCAATCCCCAGTGGGGGGCATGCAGGAGGCACCGATCCATGATTCTCATCACTGATGTTTCTATCTCTCTCCCCCTCTCCCTTCCTCTCTGAAATCAATAAATGTATGTTTTAAAAAATGAATGAGGTCAGAGCTATGGCTCCGTGCACTGCCTGGGGCAGCCACAAACCCCCGGAAACCGCCACACCCCAGGCACGGGGTGCTCAGTGGCCAGGCTGCGAGACGGCCCAGCCTCCTGCTCTGAGGTCTCCACTCC